ATATTATAAATAAAAGTTCATATAAATCCATTAACACCTCAAAAGAAAATCCAAACGAAAGGACATACAAATCCATAGCTTTCGCTAGGCCAATTATGGTTAACAAAAACAAATTTCTTTGAGTCATTTTGGTTTCATTAATATGGATATATAAATATATATATATGTACTCGCAAATATTGTATACATTTTTTTTTCGTGGTTTTACTTCCTCTACATACACAATAAATAACTCTCGCATTTTGGCTGAACTTAATCTTCTCACCACAAAAAAGATAAAAACTATTTTGTCATTTTGTGAAATGAATTTACTTTATATGAGTTTGTAGAAAAGATACAGAAGTCGGAACACTCTTATGTATATGAATGTATGTTTATATTTTAATATTTACCGTAATGCATCTCAACTAATCCGTGTATTCAACATACACGGACCATAATTGGAAGACACTTTTTTTAGCCAGTGTCCTGTTATGATGATGGGTTGTCACTATTCATTTGAATATATTTTTATTTATTATCAGTGTGAGAATATCATGTCATTTTGGACTTACTTTCTTACTTTCTTACTATCTTATATTCTAATTTAATGAAGTGCGATAAAAAGTGTATAGCATATAAATATTTGTTTGAATGAAATGGATTGTCAGTCAATCTGTTATATGTAAACGTTATATTAATTAGAATAACAAAATTAACAAAGCAGTGAATTTCATTCATAGTCAAAAATAATGAAAATAAATCTGTATTTAAGTCTGACTATTTAAGCCTGAATCCATTATGATCATATTTTAAAAATCTTTTTGTGCAGTTAGCAGTTAGCAATAACTGTCCTCGTCTTTGCATTAATATATAGTTATAAAATATTTTCTTCTTAATTTAACTATAATTAAAAGCTTAAGTTTAAAATTTTTTCTCAAATATAAGTATTTCTTTCGCTTTGAAATCTGTTTAAAATACCCATGTTTGCAAAAAAATAGAAAAATATTTTCGTAGATTGGAACAAATTATTTAAAAACATTAAGGCGCTTTCTCAAACCAAAAAAATAGCTTTATAAACACTACGGAGACACGTCACCATTATATTGAATGCTTTAAAAGTGGTTTACCGAGTTATGTTGTGGTGTTATGGTTTCCAAAAAAATGCTAAGCAATCAGAAAGATCGCTAACATCCAAAGGGTTAGCAACTCCAGATATTTTCTTTTTATTTTACTCGTCTTGTAGTTATGGAATCTTTCCTCACAATTAACTCTTATAATAAGTTATTAAATTAGAATACGTATTAATCTTTTATTGAAAATAATATTTTATAAAGAAAAACAAAACAAAATTTCTACAATAAAGTAAGTAATTTATATATTATACTTGTACTATATATATTATACTTCTCCCCTGCGCTCTGCAGTGTGGTCCACAAATTTCTGTGGGCTTAAATATATTTAATTTCTTCCAAAACGATAGAGAAAGCTCACTTGAAAAATTGTAACACAAAGATATACGAGATAGACTGATAAAATTCGTGACGTTTGTATTTCAGTAATATTAAATTGGTATAATGCCAATATACTTGTGCGAGTATCAGTTATCACGGTTAGTAACGATGATGGCCTTGGTGACATCTAAAATAGGTTTAATGAATATTCTCTAGCAATTTGAATTTTGTTCTTATACAAAATTTTGTAGTTTTGGCACGCTAATTATATTTATACAAACACAAAAAACTTAATTTTAATGTTTCCTTTATTTAATGAAACTTAAGACTAGAACTAAGATATAAAATCATTTTAAGCGCTTGCAAATTTTGCTCAAATATGCTGTACAAAACATATGTATCAGATATCATCTGAAACAAACTATAAAAGGTAGTTTCTCTAAAATAGACACTAAAGAATGGGATGATGTAACATGGTCTTGGAATGTATCCTCATTATTACTTTCATTTTACACCGTATCATTTAGTTCTTCTTTCTCCCTTCATCACTTCTTATTCTCTAGCAGTGTTTATATCCAGACATAAATGTGACATTAAAGAATGCTACCATTTTGGTGATTTCCGTCTACTACTTACTGAGACTCCACTGTTCATAGACGTTTAAAAGAAAATCGCATAGAAAATTATGCTATAACTCTAAATATTCCAGAAATTAAATAGAGGAACTATATTTTATCAAACTAATTAGAAAAATTCGAAGACTATTAAAAAAAATGATTAAGTAACATATATTCAACAGAACTAAAATTATAAAGGCTTACCTCAGAAATGATTAATCTGTAAACAATCCTCAAACTCTCGACGTTTTAAAAATGGACATCCATAAAGTATTGGTACTTAAGTGCCGAAAATTTAAAATCACCTCAAAAGAATTCAGCATATCAAAAGATATCTCATTGAGAACATTTGCTTTTTTAAACCTAATGGCAAGGTCGAAATAATATGTCGAAATAAAATTTTATTGAAATCTCTATCACAAGTGCGTTCTATTTATTCTTACTTTTGAAACCCTGAAGCGAATAACCGCGTATATTACAATCAGAAGATGCAGTTCTTTAACTAAATAAAATTATTGTTTTTATCACTCAGGTTTTCAGTTCGTTTCTAAAATAAATCACGTTTATTACTAAGAAGATATGTCACATAAATCAAAGAAAACGCCAACACATTTGCACACCTACTGATAAATTTATCACTCTAAGTAGACCTCAGGCAAAATTATAAAAGTGTTTTGTTTATCATCAAATCACTTGACGTGGATGTATCCCTACATGTGTATGTATCCTTACATATGCGTGCCGACTAAAGTTTATGAAACTTTTAAAAATTTCAGATATTTTCATATACTTTAACGTTGGTCCTTTTTTTGTCCCGTAATAATCTTATAAAAACGTTTACCATAAATACACTCCATGCTAATAGAAAAGCATTGCTTTCACTATTGTTTGCGCACCTCAAAGGTTAAAGTGTCCTCCCGTTGACTTTTTATGTAGAGAAGCACTACTCCGAATTGCATATATACGTGGGTATATTTATATATATATAAATATATATATATATATATACACAAGAAGTAACTATAACTTTTCAATATGAAAAAAATAACCTTTTAGTTTATATTGTGCGTAGCAGAATAAATGACAGTTTTTGTGATTATAAAAATATTTTTTTAATTTTTTGCAATTGTTTGCAATAAATTGACAATAAAATGGAAAATGGTTTTTTTTTATCAATGTAAATCTGTAAGATGCTTTAACTTTGGATTAATAATATCTTTACCAAACCACTTAATAAATTGTAAATACTTTTTAGTGGATTTGAAAATTGATGTGCTTTTAAAGTAATTGGCTTCTTTTTGAAGTTAATTTTAAGAAAATAAAGAAAATAAATAATATTACCAGCAATAAATAATATTTTAAATATTCAAATGTTTTACAAAAAGTTGTAATCAAGATTCGGAACCAAAATCAGAATATGAAATCAGATAAAACTAGATGAATAAATTATAATTAAGTGCACTTAAATAATTATTTTGAAAATATCGTGACAGCTCCTGGTGCTCCTGGTTTTTTCACAATTTCTGCTTTCAAACGATCCAGTAGCCGGGAAGTAGTTACTATTGATGGTTTTGGTTTTTCCCTATTCGAGATAGTCAATGAAGATTATACCATGTGCACCCCAAAATACTGAAGCCATAACCTTCCCAGCTGACTGTTGTGCCTTTGGAGGCTTCGGACGTGGTTCACCGGCTGCAATCCACTCAGATGATGATCGTTTTGATTCTGGAGTGAAGTTATAAATCCATGTTTCATCCATTGTCACATATCGACGCAAAAAAATCTGATTTATTACGTGTAAACATGGCCAAACACTGCTTTGAATCATCAACACGTTGTTGTTTTTGATCGACTGTGAGTAAAAGCGACACCCACTTTGAAAAGAGCTTTCTCATGGTCAAATGTTCATGCATAATTGTAAACGCACTGCCTTTTGATATCTTTACTGTCTCAGCTGTCGCTCGCAATTTCAATTTACGATCAGTTATAACCAATTTCTAGACTTTGTTGAATGTTTTCTAGAGTAACCACCTCAATTGGACGACCAGAACGTTCATCATCATCGGTGTCTGTACGACCACGTTTAAATTCAGCAAACCAATAACAAATGGTTCTTTTCGATAGGTCAGAGTCTGGATAATACTTTTGAAGTCATTGCTGAGATTGTAAAGTATTTTTTCTCATCAAGACGCAATGATAAATTAACACACGAAATTGTTTTGAACCCAATGGCTGTCACTTTTTTTCTGACTAATCGAAATGTCAAAATTTTACACATAGTCTTTTGAAGGTTGGTACTTCATAAACGTCATATGGATTTGACAATGGCAGCGTCATCTGTGTGTCAGTCGCACAACTTATTGAGTGATGTGTTATATCTGGTTTAATTCAGCTAAATTATATATTTAAATTCAAAGAAGGAAAAGTCAAACTTCAAGTCAATGCATTTTTTTGTTCACTAATTCCATATTAAGTTTAGGTTTTAGCAGCTACTTCGATAACCTTAATTTAGAAAGGTGAAGGAATAGGAATTAGTGTGATTTCTATAGAATACACATATTACTTGTTGCATTTACATTAAGATTAAAATTACAAATAGTATGTAAGTGTTATACTGACATCGCATTGTTTCCCAGGAGACTGGGTGATTATTAAGGAGTACTGTAGAGTCTCTTTTCGCATAATTATAGATCAACAAAAAAATTGGTGATGGAAGAAGATGTAAGATGTATTGCTGTGTAATTGATAAGCGATCATTTTCT